TATCGGCGCTCTGTCCATACATGCCTCGTACAAATTACTCTGTTTTAAAGCTGTCATTATGGTAATAGACCCAATTGCTGTCTAGTAAAGCCATAAAATGTTTCCATCTGCCTGCGTGCTCCAGGCTCCTTAGCAAAGCTCATTACGAAGAAAATCAGAGTTACTGCAGCCAGAGGTTTCCCCGGCACAGCGTGAGTAGCCGGGCGCAGGCAGGGAGCAGAGAGCTCCCGAGCAGCCCTGGGGATGCGTGCGTCTTCCGCGCAGCCCGGTCTCACCGGGAATTGCACCTTGTCCCGCTGTGGCCACGCTCCTAGCAGGGACGGAGCAGCGTTCGGGGAAAAAGCCGAGGACAGCGTCCCGGCAGAGCTCAGCCAGAGCGTGCTGCGAAGGGCTCCCGCCGTGCGGGCGATAGATCAGCGGGGGGATGCCAGACAGATTCGAGCCTAATGTTTGATCCTTGCTTGCAACGAAGGAAGCCTGTGATCCTCTGGGAGGATATGCTGGCCTATCCTGACGTTATTAAACCAACTACGAGCTTAGATGTGTCGAGCAATTGGTTTCGCACGAGTTTCCTGTTAACTTCCAAGAACTATTAGGATCAGGCACCTAAAAATCGCAGCGGCTGAACGCGCAGCCATTCCCGCTCCCTCCCCGCTGGCCCCCCTTGGCTGTTACTGGGAACGAGCCGCTGCGGTGAGCAGGGCTCTGCGGCGGGGCAGCTCCCGGCAGAGGTGGGGGTCCCTCTGCCGAGGCTGGGTGGGGGCAGCGGAGGATGGGACGCTTCCCGTCTGCCTGCAGCCCTGCGTGGGGACGCGCCTGGGCTCCTCTTCCTGCAGCGTGGCCCGTAGCCTCCTGCACCTTCGCTTCCGCGCCTGAGGAGCGTGGAGAGGGGTTAAAAATCACAAGGCTTGGGAGAGCTCTGTTAGGGAAGCCCAGACAGGTTCCTTCAGTGAGCAGCGGGATGGGATTTAAGAAACCAGCAAGAGAGAATGTTTCTCAGCTTTGTTTTCCAAAGGCCCTGCAGCCAGCCGCGCAGCACCCGCTCTCCACTCATCCTCTGCAATCCCTTTTCCTTCGCTTTCAGCTTGTTCGCAGGTGTTGTCCCACGGATGACAGCCATCGGCCTGGGAGGCTTCATCTTCCTGGGGACATACGAGAAGACTCGCCAGCTGCTGCT